ATTATATAGGTTGAAAAAATGAATTAAAGAAATAAATATAAATAAAAATAGAAACATAAAAAAAAATATTTAACCATAAAAAAATTATGTGTTGCATAAGGATTAAAAGTCACTAAAAATTAAAGTTTGTTTATCAAAGTTTTTAACATTTAATGCATTTAATAATTCTAGCGGAAGATAAATATTATGGGTTAAACGTTGGTTAATTATCAAACAATGTGCAAATTATGAATTATTAAAAAAATTATAAGACTATAATAAACGACAATTTTATAAGTACATACAAATAATTTGTATGCAAATATCATATGATCTTATATATTTATAATATTTTATATACCTATAAATAATAAAATTTATATATTAAATAGTAAAAAACTACAAAAAAATATACAAAAATAGAAATTAACAATAATAATAAATAAATAAATGTCATATTATTACTGAATAGAATATTGTGGAGAATATAATTTCATATTATCTTAAATAATTTTATAATATTTCAATAATAAATATTTTTTTGTATTGCACCCCGTGCATCGCACGAGTATCAACACTAGTATTGGTAATAATGGAGATAGTGGAGTTGGGTTAAAGTTGAGTTAAATTTAAGTTTTGATTGATTTTTTTTTAATTGGATTGATAAACAATCACACCCTAAATATTTTTTGGCTGACCTCGTTTAGCCCGGAGCAAAAAAAAAAAACAGGTTTAGGACCCTTTATTAGTAGCCGTTTAAATCAGGATTTTTTTAGGCTTGGATCATTTAATCCGAAACCCGCCAAGGCTAGCCCGAAACCCGCTATGACTGGCCCTTTTAACTATGGTAGGACAGTGTAAATGTTTGCAAGTAAGTAATATGCTTTTAGATTCTTTATATATTACTCTTTCCTATGTTTATTATTTGTCACTCTAGCTTAATTGATCATTGATTAAATAAATGATGTTTTGACTATTTTGTTCATATTTTTCCATTTTTAACCCTCCATCGTTTCCCATAAGGCAGCAAACGAGCTGAGTCGAGTCAAGCATTGGCCTTATCGAGCAGGATTGAATTTTTTTTAACTGCTCGAGCTGGACTCGAGAAAAAAATACAAAAGCTCAGCTCGAGTTCGGTTCGAATTTTTTCAAGAAATTTTGTAAAATAACCATTGAATACATATATACACAATGGGTATTTTAGTAATTTCATATATCTCGAGCTGCTCGCGAGCCGCTCGACAATGGAAAATATGGGCTCGAGCTCGACTCGAGTTCGTGCTCGAGCCGCTTGAGCTTGACTCTCGAGTTCAGTCAAACTCGAGCTCGAGTTGACTCGAGCGCTCGCGAGCGGCTCGCGAGCTGCTCGATTCGTTTGTAACCCTAGTTTTCCATAACATCATTAAATAAAGTTAATATTGGGAAGAAAAAAATTTCTTAATTAGTATGTTGCTTCTCAAAACGACAAATAATAATAATATGAGGGAGTACAATTTTGTTGTTTCACTTCACATGTAAGTATGAGTTGTAATGTATTATTATGATTTTGAAAGATAATTATTAGCAATATTATTATTGTACTTCATACCAAAATATTTAAGTCAATCAAAACGACTAATAGGAAACACATGAGACAAAGACATAGCATATGAAATATAGTGATATAATTTATAATGATAGAATATCGTGAAAAATCCTAAAGCGTACAAAATAAGTAGTAAAATAGTAATTGTAAGTAATAGTTTGAATATTTTTTTATATCTTTTGAGAAAAAATATGTTATTTAAGAGTTTGTAATGTGTGTTCATATATGATGTGCAGTTGTATATATAGAACGGTAAATACTATATAGCCGTTGAAAACAATCGTTAACTAACCGTTGTAATTTTATATATATTTTTTTATTCTTTTAACTTGTGATATTTTTTTATATAATATTATTAATATTATAATTATAGCCCGCATAGCCCGTTTAGCCCGAGACCTACTAGTGTTAGGGTTAGGTCCGTTTATTGGTAGCCTGTTTAAATCCGAGTTTTGTAGGCCCGTACCGTTTAGCCTGAAGCTCGCTAGGGCTAGCTCGTTTAACATCTCTAATTGATACTATCAGCTTTACCCTAAGAGCATCCACAATGCTTTGGTTCAATCACAAAAAATTGTATGCAACCTAAAAAATAGACTCAGTCTAAAAAAAATATTCTCCAATGCAAATAAAAGTAGACTGGGTCCTCCTGACGTGACAACCAAAAAAAGAGACTCGGTCTACCCTTACGTCTATTTTAGACTCAAGTAGAGACCTAGTCTCTTTGCATTGGAGTAGATTTTGTCAATTTTACATAGTTTTATCCATGTCATCCAAGACTTGGGTTTATTTGCATGCCACATAGACAATGAATAAAACTATGTAAAATTGACAAAATTCACTCCAATGCAAAGAGACTAGGTCTCTACTGGGGTCTAATATAGACTTAAGGGTAGACCGAGTGTATTTGTCTGGCTGTCACGTCAGCAGGACCCAGTCTACTTTTATTTGCATTGGAGAATATATTTTTTTAGACTGGGTCTATTTCTAGGTGACATACAATTTTTTGTGATTGAACCTAAAGCATTGTAGATGCTCTAATTAGTATCAATTAAGTACATACTTTATATATTATATACATATATATTATTTTTTAATTAAATTCAAGTATATTAATTATGCGATCTAATTAATTTAATTTCTTTGACAGGTTAATTCATTTTGTTTTGACTCTCCCCGTGTCTATGTCAACTATAGAGCGAGCATTCTCTGGCATGAAACTTCTTAAGACGGTTCTTCGTGATAAGATGGAAGAAGAATTTTTGGCGAATTCAATGGTTGTTTACATTTGAAAGGAAGTTGGTCGAAAAGATTAGTAATGATACTATAATTGCTGAGTTTAAATCTAAAGAGAATTGGAGATCGCAATTTCATTAGCCCCAGATATTTAAAATCATAGCTCCGCCCCTGGAACCAAGCATCTTAATATTGATTGTCATGTGGTGAGGAACAAGTTCAAGCTGCCATAACACATCTCCTCTTCTTCTCAACCAGTTGCATCTTCACCAAGCTTCTTGGAGGAACTAGATTTGATTTTTCTTGTCCAAGTTGGGAATGATGGACATCTCCCACATTCCTACTTAGGACGGTGTTAGCATGTTAATATATTGTTAGCATGTTAATGCACTAATATGCATGTTAGCATTTTAGCATGTTAATGCATTAACATGCATCTTAGTTGTAGTCCAAGAGCATGTTTGTTTATAGAAATTTTTGGTTTGTTTGGATTTTTTGGTTTTGATTTGACTAATTTTTAAAAAGGTGGTATGGTTAGTTGTTAGTGGGTATATTAAAATAATATTTAAAATAAAATATTAATTGATTTGATGTAAAAGTAAGAGAGAGATAGATTTGAAGTAATCGTTAGTTAAAATAATGTGAGTGGATGAATAGTGAATTAAAGTTGTTGTGGTGTGTATGAATGATTGATTGATATTATTTAATTATATTGATGATAGTACGGTTGAGTTAAGATTGAGTTAAAAAAGTGATTGAGTTAAAATGTTGGATTATTTTTGAAAATTTTCATAAACAAATATGTCCTAAGAGCATCTCCAACCCACCCTTCATACTTGCAGGAAACAGTTGGGTTGGAGAAAAATCATCTCCAATCACTCCTCTTGCTTTGGGCCTTTGGCGGAAACGGCAGATTTTTTTTTTTTGTGGAACGGTTGTTTTACTGTTCCAGTGTTCACACGCTAAACGTTCTTTCTTTTTTTCTTTTTGGTTAATAATGATATTGAGGTGTATTTGGGCCAATTTAGATTTATTGGACTGGGCTTTTTCAACTATAATAATTGGGCTAATTGAATTAATTAGTTTTGTAGGTTGAATTAAAATATTTTATAATTGTTGTAAATTTAATTATTGTAATTAATATGGTAGAATTTTAAGTAGTGTAATGAAAAAATGAATAATATATTTCAAACAAACAAGTCAAAATTACAAAATAAGAATAAAATTATTCAACTCACTTAAAATTAACGGTTCAAACACTAAGATTAAAATCACAACATAATGATAAACTAAAAAAAACACATCCGTAAAACTCACACATGCTAAATTAATCTTATTAATTTTATGATTTTATATTTTTTTATTAAAATTTATTAATTAATTTTATTAATCAATAATTTATATATATACATAAATATGTAAATTTTAGCAAGCATAATGCATTAAAATGTAATTTGTAAAGATTATTTAATAAATTAATTAAATTAGAAAAGAATATGCTTGGAATATTCTTTTAGAGGAGAATTATAGAGGGCATGAGTTAGAGTTGCTGGCACTGTTGAAACTGTATAACTAGTGGGATTTTACTATAAAAACTATAAGTATGTATAACTAGTGGGATTTTACTATAGAAACTGTAAGTACAGATAGCATGGTTGGAGATGTTCTAAGTTTTGCGTTTTTACGTTTCCCTTATTCTTTGTTAAAAGCATGCTTCACTTATTGAAGCGTGGCTTTGTTTCTTTTCTATTTTGGTTTCGGTTAGGTTATGCTTGCACTGCTAAAAACGTGGCTTTGTTTCTTTTCTATTTTGATTTCGGTTAGGTTATGCTTTGGTAACGTTTTGATTCGTTGCTTTAGTTTTCTGGAGAATGCTACCATCCAGTTACGGGATGGTTCCGTTGTGTTTTCTAGCCATAGATGTACATATAATCTAGTGATGGGTAGTTAATCCAACGGTTAAAAACACAACGGAACCATAGCTCGAGTATAAATGAAGCTCAGCTTCTTGATTGTATTTGAATTTTTCATTTGATTGAATGAAACACAAAAACTTCCCAAACTCCATTGTTGGTTTTCTTTGAAGATTTACATTGTGAGCTTGGACTCTNTCTCATTCTACCTCACATTCCCAATCACCTTAGCCTAACATCAACCTTGGATATCACTAACTCAGTCAACTAAACCAATATGAAAAAAAAAGGGATTAGAGAAAAGAGAGAAGAAGAAGAAGAAGAAGAAGAAGAAGAAATGCCTCAAACAAGCTAAATCTAACCAGCCAGTAACTCTGTTAAGTGGGAAAAAAAAAAGGAAAAAAAAAAGACTTTTTGTTATCAGCTACTAAGAAGAATCCATGGCAATTGCTTCCTGCAGAGGCCTCAACTTGAGAGGAGACAAGCTCGACTTAACCCGCACATCAGATGAGGAAGCCCAAAGCAGCTTTTTCCCAATAGCCACACCACTTTTAACTATTCCCAGCACCTTCCTCACCTCATTCGCAAGCTCGATAACATAGTCATCTTCGTGACCTACACATACATAAAAAAGAACAGCTTAATCAAAAAATATTCCTGAGCTGCCCATAACATAAAACACCAAAAGTCAGATAAAAGAAACTTACCGATATCAAACAGGGCCTTCTCCAGCAAAAACAGGTAGTCCCTATTATTGCCACAAGGTCCAAATGCCGTTGCAATTTGCGTGGCCATCTCCTCCAAAGGAGCCGGACCTAAATAATACTTATTCGATATCTTGTCAGGGGTTGACGTGAATACAATCACACCAGTTATGAAGGGCTGTTCATAATCGCCCTCCTGGCAAAATAATGGAAAGCGAAACATTAGTAACAAGCTAGAGCAGAAAAGTTCATGAAAATCTCATCAGTTTCATGAAAGGTGATCAAGAACTCACTTTGTAAAAGTCTACCAGAGTTTTCTGGTCATATTCGCATTCTCGTCTCTCGAGATACGCCATTGCCGCTTTCTCTTTCTCCGGCCCTCCACGTATGCAATAAGCAGCGCCCCACTGAAAAAAACAAAAGATAATATTATAAGAGTAGAGATTTTTACTTTCCTATGTGGTTTCATAGAAATTTCACTTAATACAAACACCGAAAACGGCATCAATAATTTAGGTTGCTTGAACAAAGTCAATCCACAATTTATCTTTGATCTTCTCAGTAAATTTAAATAAGTTCAGTTTCTTGGATAGTTTCGAGCTTAGATACTTCATTCCCCCAAACCCAATCCTTTAATCCAAAAGGCACAATATTTTAGATCTAAATTTTTTCAACTTACGCAGACAGATCCTTCATATTCTTCCAAGGTGCAGGTTCTAGCTGGGAGCTCAGGCGTACCTCTGTGGTCAATGCACGCTGAAAATACAATCAAATAAAACACATATAAGCAAAATCACAAATCAAGATGTCGATTGCCCTAATTTTTCATCAAAATCCACAAATCATACAGCTTCATATATCTGAGACAAATTCAGATTGTGCAATAAATAAAACCCATACCCAAATCAAAGACACGCCTGTAGTCCTTAATAAACCCTATCACTTTCTCGTCGACCTCAAAACCGGGGTTCCACACCAATGACCCATAGCCAAAAACCCAGAAAACCATCTTCAATCTGGAAAATTAGCTCTGCAAACAAAATCTAACCATAAATCTCAAATCCACTACTAACGGGAACAGAAAATTACCCCAAAAAAACAAGGTGAAAATCATACCAACGACCAACCGGCGAAATAACCTCTGGGTCGAAGGGCCGTGCAGCTGGAAAATTGGTTAATCAACAATTGAAGAACAGGGATTTGAAAGAGCAGAGAGGGATTGAACAGAATTTGATTGTTTACTCGCTTGTTTCCTCGTCCTCTCTCCCTCTAGCTCACAATTTCTTATAATATTTTTTTGTATGGCGATTTTGAGAGAGAGAGAGAAAGAGGGCAATGCCAATACCTTTGGAAATTAGGAATGTGTGATGTCTTATTTATATAGTGAGCAAAAAAGCGTGTGTTGGGAATTGGGTATATGTGTTAATCATGAATCTGGACAGGAGGGGATGTCATGTGCATAAAAGCATCCATGTACATGTTGTAGTAATTAAATTAAATATAGTAAAAATATGTCTATATTTGTATGCGGGTCTATATTTGTATGCGGTTTCATGTGATTCTTTTTATCACACTACTTAATCACATTTTTCAATATAATAAGATTTTGCTATGAAGTCAAAAATTGGTCTATATAATAAATAAACCTATCATATTAATAAATATACTCTCTCTTTTTTTTTAATAAGTGTCGTTTTAAGAAATTGCAGAGTAATTAATTTTTTTTTTGTCAATAATAATTCTCATTAATGAAGTTAGAAATGGATGTTTTGAGAAAAGATGAAGAGTGAATATGAAAAGATTTAGTGTATTTATTAGTTAGATGAGGGTAATAATAGAAAAATATGTATAAAAGACCAAAACATCATTTATTTAATTAATTGTTGATAAAGCCAAAATGACATTTAAAAAAAAGTGGTTCAAATTAAACTGTCTATGTTAAAAAATAACATAAACAAAAATATAATATTTCAAAGCATAAATATTCATTTTTGTTAAAAATGTATGATGAATCGACTCGCCCAATAATTAAACCATATTACACAATAATTTATGTCTATTAAATGGTTGTCCTCCTTTCTCCACGTTTTTTTTCCTTTCTCCACGTTGGATACAAGAAAATGTGACTAACAACTTATGTGAT